GTTTTTTATTGTCAGGGCATACACCAGATATACTACATATCATTATTATAATTAGACAGTTAACAACGCTTTTGCAGGAGGTATTATTGACAACCTATGATAAAGTACTAAAAATAAGCATCGATGTAAATGGTAACACAGATCGTTCCAAATAATAGCAAATACGCGCGTATCTGCCTGGATTGAAGAATTCTGTAGTAGGATGGGAAACATATGTATTTTTTATGTTCTCCACTAATTATTCCCCTACTTTTCAACCGGTTTCGAAAAAGCTAACGCAGAACATGAAGTACCCAGGTCACAGCCGTAGTTTCTAATATTTTTTATAGTTTGGAATTGTCGAGAAAATTAAAAATTAAGTATCGTTTGTTCTGACAAACAGTCGTGGACGATCAATCATTATTACAGCGAATGTCTCAACAGGCTGAAATGATTGCTCATACAAAATTTAAAAAATGGTGAAGGCACGCCACCGTACAAACCTTGTATGCCTAGATAGAGGTGAAAATGTAAATCTGAAATCCGATAATTATCACAACAATAAGATATATTGATTACTATACCAAATCATCAAGCAGTGCGGGACTTCAAATTCGGTAATACAAGCTTATCAAAATTGTTTTTGCAAATTATGGTCCATGCAAACTTTAGATCGACTATTTATCAAAGTACCTCAAATACTTTTTTATAATCTAGATTTGTGCATGTTGTCTAACTGTATTATCTGTGTCAGACTAATATACGGCTTCCGTACGCTTCTTTGGCTCGGTAAATAATAAAGCTCTCAGGGCACTCATGTTCGCTAGGGAGCGCTGTGATAGTGATCTGCTACGTTTTCTTTTTAATATCCGGGATTAATTATCTGATCAGTAACCAATGTATGCTTGCTTGTCTTCCTCAATTATTTACAACTGTTTTACAGGCAGAAATCACATGCGATCACATTGACTTTTCTGTCATTATTTATCAATTAAAGCCCATCTTTTTATAGCGTATAAGTACAAAATAAGATTGAAGGTTGCTATCTGTAGCAATATAGACTGTAAATAAAAATTAACCGATATCTGAGTCACATGCATATTCCCTATTGTCCAGATTTTGCCAGAGTAAATAAAAGTATGATGAAGTGTATCTCCTTGTTTTGGTCCATTGAGAATGTCTTTTGCAGTCGCCGACTTTTTAATGTACATCAATGTAGGTTGCATCTAGAATTGAAGAACGCTTAGAGTCAGTACTTGTCGAGTAGGGAATTTTACGGAAAACGTATGTAAATGCTATGAATTTCATTGATTATAAACATTCGAATAAAAATAAATATGTTATGTAGTGGTTTGTGATAGACGTTTTATTTCAAAATATAGAACGAGGATTTGCACATGTTTTAAGAATTAAAAATAAAGAAAACTAAGCTTCTCAAGTTCTGAAACAAAAATTTAATATAACTAATAGTAATAAAATTTTAATCAAATACTAATAGGGTTTAATCTGTAGGTAGCATGAGGCTTTTTATACGCTGCGTTATTACATGGGAAGTTATTTCTAAAAAACACGGCATATCAAAGGTTTCATCTGAAAGATGACTGCTGGTTTTGCAGGCCAAGTACCCTGCGGCTAAAACTTTTTAAGATGCTGCTTTATGAATATATATCCTAATGTACGTAACATGTTATCAGAAAAAAAACATACATTTAGGAACAAAAGATCAAGAACAACCAACTTATGCTGCTTCAGGGAATATATATCGTTTGCTATAGATCAACAACAACAAGTCGACGTTATGGATTTCTCAAAGGCATTTGATCGAACACACCACTAAATTTTGCTTAAGGGATTTATATTTTTAGGGTTTCTGATGGCTTTTTGATATTTTTCCTTTCGTATTTATCCGAACGCGTTCAATTTGTGCAGTATAAGTGCCTCAAATCAGAATCATACATACCAACAGCGGAATTGCCACGCGATAGTAACTGGGTTCCCTCACTATTTTTGATTTTTGTTGATGATATCAACCATATAATAACAGTAAAAAGCCAAATGCCAGCAAGTGTAAAGTCCATTACCAGGAAACAGAATATTATACTGTATGATTATACGAGGGTGGTACCCGGCCTGACCTAGAGATGTCGATAGTTGTTTGAAAAATATCATTGTATTAGAAAATATGCAACCTATAAAGCATATGTATCAAGTATGAAGACGCCACGTTATATGGTTCAATACTTTTATTTCAAAGGCCTCAGCCCAACCAATATAAAAGCTGAACTGGATTCTACTCTGGGTGAGTCTGCTCCTTTATTTACAACAGTAAAATATTGGGTAGCAGAGTTTAAACGAGGCCGTATGAGCTGCCATGACGAGCATCGCAGTGGTCGACCAAATAAGGTGACTCCAGGAATGGTGAAGAAAATTCACAAAGCGGTACTGAATAATCGTCGACTGAAAGTGCGCCAGCTAGCAGACATAGTAGGCAAATGCGGTTCATCGCATATTATCTGAAAATTTGGACATGAGAAAGCTGTGTGCAAGATGGGTGCCGCGATTGCTCAGAATCGAGCAAAAACAGTGTCGTGAAGATGTTTCAATTGAGTGTTTAGCGAAGTTTCACAGCAATAAAGCAGAATTTTTGCGTCGTTTCATAACCGTGGATGAAACATGGGTCCAACAGTTCACACCCGAGACAAAAGAACAATCAAAACAATGGACTCAAAAGGGACAACCGGCTCCAAAGATAGCGAAGACCGTTTCATCTGCAGGCAAGGTTATGGCGTCGGTTTTTTGGGATGCTCGTCTGATAATTTTCATTGACTATCTTGAAAAAGATTAAACTATCAACGGCGAGTATTATGCGAACTTATTGCAACGTTTGAGCGACGAAATCAAGCAAAAACGGCCGCATTTGGTTAAGAAGAAAGTGTTGTTTGTCAAGACAATGTACCAGCTCAAAAATCCGTTATTGCAATGGCCAAAATTAACGAACTGAAGTTTGAAATGCTACCTCATGGAACCTATTCATCATATTTAGCTCCCTCGGATTATTTTCTGTGTCCAAACTTGAAAAAATGGTTCAGTGGTTAAAGATTTTCCAACGATGAAGAAGTGATGTCGGCAGTTAATGGCTATTTTGAGGAGCAAGACAGTTCTTATTAGAAAAAGGGTATCGAACTTATTTAACATTGCTGGGAAAAGTGTATAGAGCTCAAAAGAGATTATGTTGAAAAATAAATACATTATTTTACAAAAATTTTGTGTTTTCTTCGTTGGGTCGGGTATTTCTGGAATCACCCTCGTATGCTGCACAATCACAAACTTGACAGAGTAAAGGAAGCAAAAGACCTAGGTATTACTATTACTTCAGATTTCTCATTTTCACACACTGGAATCAATCAGCTTCACGTATCCTTGGATTCATATTTGTAAGTTAAGTACTCGTATATATCCAAAGTCGAGAAAATCCAAACGGAAATTTTAAAATACCTGTATTACAAAGCATATGGTGCATATCCTCCATTCAACTATCCAAAGAAAGATATTTTAGATCACCTTGGCATGATTAGTCTTGAACACCGAAGGTTCTTGTAAAGATGTTGCTTTGTGCATAAATTGCTGGGCAGTCAGATCGACTGTGGTGTGAAATTTTGTTCAACTTAAACTAAACTGTACATAGGTAATATTAGGATACACTGTGTATTATCTACCAAAAAGCTTTAAAAAATATTATGCTAGCATCCGCTTCATATAAAATATCGAAATGCTCTAACGAGGCTAGCCATCTCTTTCATTTTGACATGAGCGAGGAAATATATATATATATATAACTTGAGACGTGGTCATTGTCGTCGAGACCAGTTAGGTGAAAAATTAAAGCTTCCGCCTTTTGTTGGGTACTTCGACAAAATTTAAGCAAAGAGGACTCTTTATACTTTTTTTAATTCTCTCTAGCTTTCAATGGACTTTGCCATCATCATCAGGAGCTGCAATTACAATGATAACAGTAGCAACAAAAGTGTAAAATGAAGTTGAGTCAATTTAAATTATATAAAAGAAGAATAATATTACGTTTAAGAGCTGTTGAGTGAAGTAAACCTTTTTTAACTTTCCAGTACCTTTAACTGAATGAATCTTTATGTATTTTAGGAGTAAAATTAACGTTCAGAAATATATTAATTTGCGTATGCTACTACTGCACTGATGAGCCTCTGTGTTAGATTTGATACATACACTTAGGGTTTTTAGGATCATGAATCCATGATATCATCACTTTACAGTGTTTCTCTGTAATTGGATCTTTTAGCTGTTGAGAAATACAGGAATAAAATAGAATATACGTGGATTATGCTGCCACGTTCAATCTCGCAGTCTTGCAAGATCTCGTTCGAAAATTGTTCGAGACTCGTAAAATATGGACAAGATCTCGCGATGATCTCTCGGAATTTCTTAATGCAAGTTAGCCGTCGGTTGCATCTGGGTTTGAAGAATTCTCAGGCCGAGAGAACTTAAAATTAAGTTAGCTTGTATCTGGAAATATATAAAATTTGTGGTGAAATTGGTTCCGTAGCAGTACTGGTATCAAGAATATTATCTCGTGATTTGAACACAGAACTCCTGGAGTCGCCAATTTTGTCAACATACTAATTTAGTTTCTTCTCTTAGTTGGTGCTCGCTGCTCTTAATGTTAGTACTTAATATTTCCAAACGAAGATCCAAACTAATGTCTTCAAATAAATGTTTGCTGGGCATGACTTTCTTCGTTTTTTAGTAACCGACCTCCACCTTGTATACTCCGCAAGCAGTACCATCAATACTTGTATACCGGCGCGGCACCGCAAACGCAAGCGGCTCCTCTGCCTCCGGTAGCTCCATATCTCAAACCTCCCTTCCCCACCCGCCCCTCACGCGCGCATCTTCGTAGGTGCATCTCGCTCGCGCCCGTCGCGTGTTGAGCGCGCGCTCAGCGAACGTGCTGCGTGCGCATACCTGCGCCCTATAAAAACCTGGTGCACACCGATGCACGACGCATTCGTACTTTGACGTGATTGCAGTGCACGTTGCAAGCCCAACTAGTACACACCCCCGCATATTCGTCTGCTTACCTGTTGCATCCGAGGTTAGAGGCGCATCGCACAACGAATATGTGTTTGAGGAGCGTCAAGGCGCCGCCGTCTACAGAAGGAGGAGGTTCGATTCAATCACCTAGGAGGGGCAGTCCGAGATCACCTTGGAGGAGGCAACACAGAGAGGTAGGTGTAGATGTTTTTTCGCTCAATGTTTCCATTTATCTGAACGTTTCGGTATTTGTCATAATCTAAGAGTTTTATTTACCTGTTGAGACTACTTGGTGTTCATGTTTCTAGATTTAAACTTTGAACATATTCGATTTCTACATCAGCAATTTAATTGTTTTAAAGAAATAATTGCAAATATATCTACATAGTGCAAAAGTAGTTTATGTTTTTATATTTTATTTTCTAGTATTTCTACATAACCTTGGTTTACTTTTTCAAAAAAATGAGCGTTTGTTTACTTATCAAGGACTCCTTGTTTACGTCAAGCGTCAATGATAAAATGACATAAGCATTATAATTCTGCACTTTTCAAATGCCTGGCTTGACTTATGTGCACATTTTAGTGTAATATTTGCATTTTTTCTTTGCTGTATAGATTAATATTATGTAGTTCAGGACCTTCAGTTCCATAAAGCTATTTTTGTATCTTCGAAACTCGTTCTCGGTCATTGTAAGATCCCTCAGCTAAATCACATTCATAGTCAACAACTTTGTCAATTTGATATCTAATCTCCTCTACATAATGTATAAATCTATATTTTTGAGAACGACAAAATTAGTTTGATTATGCTAGTGATATTTTTAACGACTACTTCTTCGTACCGAATCAAATTATTTCATCTACTCGTCTGACAGATTGTTTTTTGTTATAGCTTCCAAGGCCCAGAATGTCTCGTCGTATCGTGCCTAGTGCCAGAGTGAACCTCAACAACTATTGGCCAAAGTTCGAGGAGATGTCAACGCAAAGCTCGTTATTAGTCACATTTGACCTACCAGCGAGTAGCGACATCTTGCGGAGTTCTTTGTACTCCACCTTTCATGACAACGAGATCAACGAGAATCTCGTCAACGAATTGATGGAGCTTGGTAAAAATTGAAGTTTTAGGTTAGAATTAGTTTTAGTTTTTAGGTTAGATTCATCGTATGGTCTTCCACTGGGTTTCCAGTTTCGTTGCTTTAAGAATTGTTTGGTTAAGCTGACTTTCAAAAAGTGCAATTGATTTTTCAAAAAGCCGTGCAATATTTATTTTTCGAGAATGTGCAATTAAAAAATCGCGTGATAGTTTTTTTAGGATTACGGTATACAACTTCATACGAAACTATTTAACAACCATTCAACCTGCAGTTGATGCTTCGCAGATTGACCTAAACTGTGCATTCAGATCCTTCCATAACAATTCCGCTTTTATTTTCTGCAAGCTATAGAGACATTTTTGTACCGGGATTATTTAACAAATTCTCTAATGAAGCTGTATTTTGTGATATTTTTTGTGATATTGGTTATATCTATCTACTTACTGCTTGATTATGTAAGAAGTATACGCCTTCTGTTTTTCATTTGTATATAAAAAGTAAAAAGCACCTTTCATTTTTGCTCAAGCTTTACAACTGATGCTTTAATTAGAATATTAGCGAGGACCAATCCTCTAAAACGTGCAATACTTTCAAAAAAGGGTTCACATAGACACAATTTTGTTAAATGAAAATGAATATTCAAATAGCTATAATTTAAGGACGCTGTTTTGATTACAACTTTTTCAATTTTGCAGAATATCAGACCTTTATATCATCATTTAGAGTTTCAAAACATGAGAAAAGAAAATTTCAAGATATTCAGACAAATTATATCTGCCGATATCTATTATGTATGTATGTGAACCTTTCAAGCTTTAACTAGATTGTAAGTTATTCGACTGTGATATGAAAAAGCTTTAATGTTTTTAGTATACTTGCTTTTATACATTTCCATTGAAATTAAGTGTAACTTTGTTTCATGAAGTTTTTTGATGGAAACATAGGCCGACAAAGTGTCAATTTGATTTGTATATAAGACTGCTTAGTTATGCTACCCATTTAGTGCTAGTTTTGTCCTCCAAATGCACTCAAATTAGTATAGTTTCGCACCTTTACTTTAATAACTATAGGAAGATTCGGAGATGTTTGAATTGGTTTCCTTTAAAATTGATCTTCATGGTCATTGGCTTAAAACGTAAAAGCAACGGATTTGATTTTAAGCTCAATTCTAGAAAAAGTAAAATGATATCTTTTCTCTAAAGCTCATTTTGTCAATCTAATATCTCTGCATCTTGCTGTATATCGCACATCACTTTAGCTTAATCTTTGAGTTAGCTTAGACATGCTCAAGCAAGCTATGTGATATGTGTAATATTTTATTTTTTTTTTGGTTTTGTTTATTTTTGTGTATTTTTCCTGTGATATCAGCTTAACAACGATGATTTCCGAAGTTTTATTTATAATTTTTCAGAAAATCTAGGTTTAGGCTTTTTATAGTTTTAGCCTAATTTTTATGATATATCTCTTCCGTTTGTCTTTCAGTAGGTATAAGGCTGCGAGCTAGCTTTGTTCTCATTTTTCTAGTATGTAAGATCGACTTGTACATATTATTTGTTTTTGCATGTTCCGTAAATAAACATCTGAAACCTTTAATTGATCAGTGTTTATTTTTTATTTTATATCATGACCAGTTCAAAATGTATCTGTAACAGTCCATACCACGGCGTTAAAAGGCATTATTCATATCAGCAATTATTTTAGAAGGGTTAATAATGTGCAACAGGTATTTAGTTACATGGTTAGATGGCAGCACTGTTATCTTTTCTACAAATTCAACCTGATATGAATACAGATGCATTGCCATATCATATGAAAATGATTCCAACCATTTAGGTGTACACAGTTCCCAAAAAAACTCACGATTCATTAGGTCTGATGGCTCTATCTATTGATGTATTCTCAGTAATGACTAAGCTGACATGCGATATACAGAGGGATAATAGATAATGCTGCTTTATGCTTGATACATACTGCAATGACGCCAGAGTTATAAGCAAAAAGGTTCTAGATTGTCCAAGAATTTCGTTTTTAGAGATATAGGGTCGAATCTAAAACGGTAATTTAAACATTTTGAATAAATTCAAATCTCGTTTTATTTTGCTCTTTAGTTACCTTCCAATAATGTTTGGATGTAGATACAAAATTAATGATATCTACTCGTATATTCCGATTTATTCGCGTGCTTCATATTTCTGTCGAAGCGAGATGGGCACCTCTCAATCCAGTTAATAAGTTAGAAGTACTGGATCGAACTTCTTGACCTTGTTTTCTGTGAAGTTAATCACCTCTGCTCACAGGAAAACAAGTAAAATGTTATACTATCTTCTTAACTGTCTACCATGCTGTATTAAACTGTTTTCTACACAGGTCTTGAAATCAAAATACTTGGAACGTCGGTAACCAAAAATGAATTTGAAGATACCATACACCACTTCTTTTTTTTCTATAAAATATGGTTATTTTTTTAATGGCGTTAATACGGCGGATCATGTTTCTAGGAATTAGGCACTCCGATCGTTATTTAGACCACTAGCGACCTCTATATAATTGATGACGAGCAAGCAGTCACCATAATCCCCTACGCACAGAAAAGACTGTCTAACGGTTTCGCTCACAAAAAAATACAAAATCTTTGTCGCCGGCCTTTTCGCTCCCTTGTACCCACTCCTAAGCAAGTTATTTGCTAGAAAAATTTTTAAAAAGTAGGGCCTTCAATTGAATCTCGTGTTATTACTTTTTATTATCAATACCTGCCCCTGACAGACAACATTTTCGTTTGAAACAACCCAACACTCAAATTGGTCCATTCCGTTTGAGAATTTCGCGTTGATGGGTTCAAAATCACCCAGAAAAATAGGTCTAACTTTTCAACGACTCGATCGAATATCATTGAAAGTCCGACTCAGTAATTTACAAATCTAGCATTCCCACTAGATACGCATATTCGCATTACTTTGGGTTACTCATCCAACCGTTCACCCTCGCCCCCTCCCCCATAACTCAAAGGTTGTTATTTTCATGAGATATAGGCAGCTAAGAATCATCTTAACAGACAGGACCTTTGAATAAAAAAAATCCACACACCGATCGATTCATCCTGTTGGGGAGCTACAATGCCACAGCACACACAGATACACATACTCATGCTAAATTTCCAACACCGCTGTAGTAAGTACGTATAATTACAATAAGCAAAGTCCAATGAAGATTTTGTAACGGGCTAAAATCTATATCTAAGTCACTATTGATAACCATTTTCAAATGAATTTCATAAACAAACAAAAATAAAAAAAAAATTCACGTTCAAGAGAAAAGTTCTAAGGGATGTTCCTAGGTGGCCCCCTAATGCCGAAAGGCAGCCCAATTTGAGAAGCGGCTCGACAACCCGATTACCTCTCGCTATGGGAGTGTGCTTAGGAGTGACATTGATGCTCTTTATGGGGTGTCACTGCTTGACACATAAGTGGTTATTAGGAAGCGTTGAGTACTTTGATCAAGCTGGTGATATAAATTAGGTATGCTTTCAAATAGAATCACATCAGACCAAAACTATTCAAGCTGTTGCGGGATTGACAGATCTGATCATCTCTCACAAAATTATACACTTTGCACGGATTCTAGAAGAGTCACGACAATATGCTGTTTAATTTGGCGGCCAGTTAAACATGATCAATGATTGAAATGGACATGCTCGCTTCTCATCTGTGTAACGACATGCTCGCTTTTCATCTTTGAAACCACTACCAATGGCAGTCAGCACTGTTTCGTGCTAATTAGCAACTCATCAGTGCGGTATAGGTTAGTAGTACTGGAGGCAGATGAACGGAAAGCAAACACGTTGGGTATGGTCGTTTGAACAACTCATGTTTTTTCCTACTGACCGCACATGAACATTGATTGATAATAAGTCTGTCAATTAGAATATACGAACCAAAGTCGTATCGTGAATATTATTCATTATAATTTTATCATTACACCTAATCTGTGAAAATTAAGCAAATCATACGATTTCTTTTATTTAACACGTGTCTATGGTAGATTAATTTCCACAGTTTTGATACGTATAGTTATTTATTTAGCTCCAAACTGGAGACTCGAGAAAATTAAATTATCAAGGTATGTGGTGATTGCAAAATTATATTTTCATTTTCTTGTGGAAATGTATGAGAGCTGTGTCTGAATTCTAATGTTTGGAGGCTGTCACAATTAACGCACTTATTACAGAGAGTGTTAAGCTCATGCGTAACCTATCAGAAATGATTCAAATGAACCTAAAACAGGTATCTTATGGTTCATAAGGTCCATCTGGTACTAATAGTTCATTCTCACACAGATGTAAATAATTCCTTTTTTGATATAATCACAGTGTTAATACCTATTTAAGGTACAATGATCGTAAGATTTTAGTTCTTAAATTATTTTTGATAAAGTATTTTGGTCTAAAGATTCGTAGCGATTTGTTTCTAGAATAAGATTTTCTTGTTCGTAATAATTGTTATAAAAATCGTTCAATACGATCGCAATCACCTCACTGACTCACGGATCCCTTCATCAAACGGACGTCCATGTCTCAGTATCTGATAATTACCGAATTTTCGCTGGTGAGATTTTAACTAAAACACGGAAGATCTTCGATTAGATCGTGAAGAACATTGCTCATGATCTGCTTGATTTTAGGAGCTAAACCTCAATGGGACCGTCTAAAATTACGAGTTTACGCCAGACTGGTGGAAAATGTAAAATATCCGAAAAGTACAAAAATTGATGGATGTAACTCAATAAAAAATTACCATGCGTAGGTGTTTATGTTTCCGAAAATATTCGGCGCTGTCTGAGAGGCAAGCAAATAACTTATTTGAAAATTAAAAGCATATTTGCTTGTCGATTTGGAAATGATAAACGATTTTGCGAACGAGAAAACCTACCCTGGTATGTTTGAGAAAGAGGTCTATGAGGAGAAGAATGCATTGTAGATGAAGGTAGCCATTTTGCACAGTAAGAAGATGTTATTTATGTTGATATTTTTTTCAAAAAAATATCACCATGTAACCAGGCTAAGCGCTTTTCCATAATCGTCCAAAGCAAAACAGTTGAATAGTTGAAAAAATCGCCCTTAAATATTGTCCATTTACAGTAGCAGACAAAAGTTTGGAAACAAGTATTAACAATACTATGAACTATTTCATATACCTAAATTAAAATTGTGAAGGAACAGATACTCGTAATATAAATATTAAAGTAGCTTCGTCTCCCGTACTAGTACAAGGTTTATGTTATCAATATTTAAATTTTCTGAACATAAAAATACGCGTTTTTAAATACCACAGTTTTTGTAACGACAAAAGTATGGGAACATTTCAGTTTTGCCATATTTATTCGTTCTGCGATACTCTGATATTGCGTACGGTAAAATATTAACATGGAAAAAGTAAAAGAATTTTCAAAAGATTTAAGAGACAAAGTAATTGAATTATTTAGAAGTGGTGTGAGAAATGTTTACATTTCTCAAAGACTAAAAATGAACAAAGGGGCGATTTCGAAAATGATTGGTAAATATCAAGAATACGGATCAACAGCAACGCGGCTCAGGTGCGGAAGACCGAAAAAAACCGATTATGTTTTGGATCTCTACATTAAACGTTTGTCCCATGAAGATCCTCGAATGCCATCCACACAGATTTTCAAAAGAATCGTAGAAGAGGGTGCCGAGAATCTTTCTGTCATAACAGTGCAGAGACGCGTGGTGGATTTTGGGCTTTTGGGTAGGCATCCAGTGCAAAAGCCTATCATTTAAAAAATCTTATTGCTCGATTTGAATTTTCTGAAACTCATCTAACTTGGACAGAACAACAATGGAATATACTTTCATGGAGCCATGAAAGCAAATTTAACTTGCTTGGATCTCACGGTACGGCATATGTGAGACGTCCAATACGAAAAAGATTCGACAAAAAGTATCAGTTGCCAACAGTTAAGCACGGTGTAGATCGTCATTTATATCCTCAAGACTGGAGGCAAACTACATGAGAAAAAAATAGTCCTTAACCTTTAGCCGCTAACGTGCGGTCTACGATAGCCCATTGATATATTATGTGTTACAATTTGGCAACGCAGCCCATCTGGATACTAGGAAGGTAGATACCTTTTGGAGAAAGCATGACGGAGCGTTTTAGTCAGTTGGCAATATAAGCTTGTGCGGCAGTGTTCTGTCATTGCCAAAACTATACCGTAGCGGTATCAGCGACCTCACCTTAGCGAACGTGTACCGGAGATAAAAATTAACATCATGAGCAGTTTCCCTGATCGTATGCATCCTAATGATCTAAGATTTGAAGAGTGGGCGAGAAGTTTAATGGATCAAGATGAAGATATTAGATTCACTGAAAGTGATAATGAACTGGAAGATTCTGACATAACAGAGGAGATACATGAAGAAGAGTCCGATGCAGACTATATACCAGAGACGAAAATGAAACTGAAAATTGGTTGGAGGACAGAAATCAGATGGAAGATTTTTCTATGGAAAAAGAGAGGTTTTATATTGGTAAAAATAAGTAAAATGGTAAGAAAGTTCAGAATCTGTAACTACTAAAACATTTGAGGAGGTAATACTGAGGTGTGTGCTTTATCGTTGTTTTCTTTTCAGGCATAAAGACCAGCCTCCAGTCAATGTAAGGACTAGAAAACATAACATTGTACTCACTCTACCTGGACTACGACCAAAAGCTAAACAGCTTGGCGCTAATCCGGAGATTGAAGACATCTGGCTTCTTCTATTTTCTGAAGAT